ATGATTTGCGAAGAATAAAATCTTTTCTTGGTAAAATATTCCCATTGGTGTTAGACAATAAACTTCTTGAAATATTCCACCTTTCTATTTGGAGGAATTTCCCAAGCAGCCACAAAAGCTGATCCCCTCAGTATAGCTGAGGATTTTTTATCAGAGTAAAGCAGGGAACCCAGTAAGAAGTGCCTGAAGGATCTGGTCTGCACGAGAATCCGTGTTGTGACGCTGCCTTCTACTGGGTTATAACACCTGGTGGAGAAAAGGGCTAAGCGTGGGAGTCTCTAAGTGAGGCAGCTGGAAACTCCACGAGCAGGGTCCTGGTCTATCCTGCTCACTGCATATGCCCTCAGCCCCCACAGTCGGGCCTGGCACTTAGCTGGCACTCATGATTAACTTACACCCAGCCGTCTAAGCTGAAATGGCTGTGAACCAGCGAAGCCCAAAGCACTGACCCACACATTAACGTGACACAGCATGGGACACGTGACTCCTGGTTCTTTTTTGGTTCCCTGGCCAGCTCCTCCTCAGGTTATGTTCACATGCTGACGCCCCTAGGGGCTTAGTCTAGGTCACCCTCTCTTAATTCTGCACAAGTCTAGGAGTTTCATGCACTATCTCTGTGCTGATGACTCTGACGTCTTCTACCCACCAGCCCAGGGGTGCCTCACACGCAGCACGGCCAGACTGAGCTATGATTGCTTGCGTCGTCCTGTGCACCTCCTTTCACCTGCGCCTCGTCCCGCAGCTCAGAAGCGGGACCACTAGCGGCCTGCTGCCCAAGCCAGCATCCAGGCTCATCCTGCCTTCCCCCCACAGACCACATGCAACCCAAGGCCTGTCCATTTGACCTTCTAAACCTTCTCAAGTGCATGCAGACCTTGCTGTATCTCACCTGCCAGCACACCACCATAGCTAGAACCATTATCTCCTTTTTCCTAGTGTATCACAAAACCCTTCAGCGGTTCCCCACTTCCCTCAGGGTAAAGCCTGACTGCTTTAAGGTATCACAGGTCTCGTGAGTTGGTCCACGAGTAGCCACCCGGCCCCTTATTAGCTCCATGCAGGCTGCCCTTCCTTTTCTTACACAAGGGGATCTGCCCAGGACGCTGCCCCTGCCCNAGGGGACTCACAGTTGCCCGTCTGGCCCGCTGGCATCTGAGTCTGAGATGCTGCAGAGGCCCCGGTGGTCATGTTCTTCCTTTTCCCCACGTTAGCCCTCGTAGCCATGGCTTCATTGATGTTAAACAAAATGCTCTGGACGTCATAATGTGCAAAACACCGCTGACAGTTCCACGGGCGAATGCCCCGCTCAAGACGACCGTCTTCCAGGTCAGAAGTGAACTTGAAAGTCTCATGTTCACTTTTAACAGTTCGCAGCTTTCGGAAGAGCGACGTCTCCACGGACTCCGACTTGAACCTCCGTTTGAAGGGCTTGTCCCTGTCTCTCCCAGTGAGGAGGGCGCTGTCCACGTAGTCTAGTCCTGAGATGCGGACGAACTCTCCTCTCGAGATCCGTGCTGCCGCGTGCAGGCTGGGCGAGATGGCAGCGTCGCAGGGGAAAAACTCCGGGAACCCAAAAGGGGCCATTGCTTTGTGATCGTAATTCTCTACTCGGTACCCTCTGAGCATAGCAAAAAAGTTGTCACCAGAAAGGCCCTGCCGGTCAATGGAAGATGTGCTCCCGTACTCCCGGTGGAGCGCGGCCCCGGTGTTGGGGTTCACTGCATTCTGGTCTAAGACGTCTTCAGCGTCGATGTCGCTGATGGTGACGTCACTATTGCTCCTCTGTCTTATGGGGTGAAGTCCTCTTTGAGGCGAGTGGACAAACATGTCCCCGATTGTGTACTTTGCCTCCACAAAGTCTAGACCAAGCTGCTCCTCCGCCTGAGTGTCACTCTGGTCGTTTTGTCCATTGTGCATAATAGAAGTGACACTGTCGTACGTGGTCTGAGACCGGCTTTCCCACAGTGTCTTGCAGGCCAGCTCCTTGGAACAGTCCTTTTTAGGAGGCCACTCAGACACCCTTGCTCTCACACCCATCTTGGGCACAGCTGGGGTACCATTAGCTGGGCCACCACTCTCGTTGGGATTTGAGGCATTTAAAGAAGTGGCGGGTCCCATGTTGCCATTAATGGCTTTAAATTTCCGAGCAAAATAATCATCAGACTGCATGATTCTGGGAGGATCCTGGAACTTTGAGGAGGCTCTGCCAGGCTTGTGCTTGTCTTCCTGTGGCTGCCTCAGGTCACTCATGTCCACGAGGTAAGAAGCTCCAAGTGTCACCAGAAAGCCTGATGCAGGATATTAAATGTGATACATAGGCTTCGCCTATAGTTGTGTTTTCTCTTGTTAACCAAAAGCAAACAACATCCTCAGCGCATGCTTTCTCCAAAGCCAACCTGCTTCTCAGTGCTAATAATTCTGTACACCTCTGTCCTTTTCAAAAGCATTCCTTAAGACATCAGCCATGAGTACTTCCTTCACCTGAATGAAAAAAAAACCAAAAAACAGAAAACAGCCATTAACAATTATTATAGTTCAAGTTTGATACATTCTACATACGGTTTGTTACCTGTCATTCTCTCCCCCTTTTGCCCATCTCCACTACCACCCCACCCCCCAAATGTCATGAAGATTCATGTCTGCACCACTGTTCACACTGCTCCTTCTCTCTGGAACAGTCTCCTTACTGCTCTACTTGGTTAGCTGGAGTTCATACCACACGCCCAGCGGGACCCTCTGCAGGAACCTTTGCCAGGACATCTGCACCCACAGTCCACATCTGAGCAGAGCCCCTGCAGCCCCTGCAGGCACACCTATCTCAGCAACTTTCTTGTACCCTGAATTGTTGGTTTACCCATCAGCCTCCTCCACTAGCTAACTTCAACTCCCCAAAGCCAAGAACTGTGCCTTTCATCTCTGTATCACATTGTCTACTAACATAGCCTGGCTTAAACTAGGTAATCAGCAACATTTCACTTAGCTATGAGTAACACAAAGGGCATGTAATTTCTTGAGTATTATTATACTTTCTTTCAAAATAAACTCAAAACATCCTACAGCAAGAGGGTAAATGTCAGGTGTTAACACATGAAATTTTAAATTGTTTCTTGCAGTCAAGTAGGAACTCACAGAGCTACCCCTTAAAGTGGGAAAGGGGCCTAAAGAATCTGGTGTCTGACTGAGCACAACTTTTGAGCTCATTATGCCTCCAGCAACTTGACAAATGTACAGGGTCAAATGAAAGCATGGAGATAAAACACCACAATTTATTTTTGTGGTCGGTAAAAATTTACTCTTTTCTTTGATTACAAATAAGTTTTTCAATTTATTCTGTCTTTAATGAAACCAAAATATTTTCCAGGTAGTATATATTTTCCCAACTCACGGAAGTCTGGGAATCTTACCTGTTGGCATAAGAAAGAACTAGTTCTGAAAACAATGATGGTAATAAAGGTGTAATATAACTGATTTCCCTCAGTCTTCACCAAAGCATAAAAATAACTAAAATTTAGTTTAAAAATGTTAAAATTCTGACTTGCTGAACAGTACAAGAACTTTTAACGGCTCTGAGATAAACCTGCGGTGGTCTCTTGGAAGAGCAGGTCTTTTCTTATACTGGCAGCTTTCTCCCGCCATGGGAAGAAAGTCAGTCTGGGCATGACAACCCGCTGTCTGTTCCCAGGCAGCTGCATGGTTGAGGAAATATAATGACTTCTGAGGGTGTGGCAAACAAAAGGGGGAGGAGCACTCAGCTGCTTCCATGCACAGGGCAGACCAGTGTCTGCTAGTGGTTCTCAGGAGGAGAGGCGAGATGGCTGCATCTCATCTGTTTCACTTACAATCACTGTGCCAAAAAGGATCAAAAAGGATTCTGAATTATAGTTTTCTCCTATACGATTTAGGCTATTACCAAATCCTTTCCTAGAAACTGAAAAAATGACAACTGTGATATGAAAGAAACAACTTTTCACCCACCATGCCTGCGGAAACGCTACGTGGCTTACAGCTCTAGGCTCCTGCACTAGCTGGACATTCCCCCTAACTGTGCGCACAGAACACTCAACAAACTTGGAAGCGTTAAGAATTACTCCTG